AAGATACTTTAAATCTATGAAAGGGGCATAATAGATTTGTAGATCGTAATGCAAAATCCTCCAAAAAGTAAAAATAGTAATCTTAATATTTTTCATAAATATTCTTAATATATATTCTTATAATCATAATCAACTATTCTACAGGTGGTATATGATTTCGTGTTGATATAACAGAGCAAGTAAATTTTTTATTAAATTTTCACAATAAATTAAAAAAAAAAACTTTAAGTTTGTACATACATAAAAGTCAAAATGGCTTTGTTTTTTTTTTAACAACAATATGTATTGCACTACTTGCCACTCTACTTTGATCTGAGTATAATAATCGTTTAATCAATCTGCTTAAAACCAATTTATGGAAATTTCTACACTCTCCTTAAAAGATTAGTTATCCGAACCTTTAAAAACTTAAATTAAGCCGATTAACGATAGAAGAAACTGAATAATTTGAATTTACTGTTTGCATCATTTGGTAGAACATGATGATATCGTCAGAATTACTAACAGAAATTACTATTAAAGTATGTCCTGCCGAACTCATCAGCATGAATTCTATGAACAAATCAATTAAATTTATTTTTTGTTAAAATTTGTCTTCATAAAAATACCTACAAGTTATTCTAATATAGCTACTTATATAATAAAATAGATACAAAATAAAATATAATAGATTTACTTACTACAAAAATAATATAATAAAATTATATGGTTTCTAAGATCCTTTATTTATTATATTTTGTGTACCGTACTTAAAAAATACTCAAGATCTCTTATTTAAAAATTCCACATAAATCAACTTTTTCTTTCATCTTGAATCTAGGGATTTCTAATATCTTAAATATTTTATATGAGTAAAATTATATTTTTCTATAACAACAAAATTTTCTTTGGTACTTTCTAATACAAAATAATTTTCGTTATCCTTGGGCGCAATACTCATAAAATATCTTCAATTCCTAATACTCGTGAAATATCTTCAATTCCTAAAATAATTTCTTTATACTTAGATACAAATTTTCCAACATTCCTCTCGTTTTAATTTTTTTTTTAAATATCTAACTTTTAAAGAAACTCAAACCAAAATATTTACACGAACTTTGAAAAATTCTAAATAAAATAAAAATAAAAAATTTTCAAAAAAAAATATCTAACTTTATAACAAATTACGTACAATCAGTAATTTCATCAGCTTAGCTAACAAATTCTTTTGTTTATTTTATTGAATCACAAATAAATTTGACGGAATCTGTTTAAATGCGAACGTAAATTATTTCCTCGAAAAGAAAAAAAAAGATGAGAATTTCTTAATATGCGTAAAATAAGTTTAGAAGGAACAGAGGAAGATGTGAGGAGTTGAAAATTACAGGAGCACTTAAGCTTACGAAATCTGCTATTGAATGCTCTATTGTGCTACTCTACCCGAAAGGATTTAAATAGATTTGCTTGAGTCTCATGATTTCTTAGTCTCGTCGCGTCAAATTTTATGATGGTTTCTTTGTGTTAAACTTAAAATGTGATTTTGTCACTTAAGGAATTTTTAAATTCATTTTCAATCTCAATAAACACAGATATTCCTCTTGTGGGGTTTAGACAACATGGTTGGCGTGCGGCGGATATCCGCTTCCTTAGCAAATAAATATTTTATTGAATTTATTTTATACAAAATTTTCATCCTTAAGCAATAAGTTTTTATTTATTTTTAAGAACGTAAATTTCATTTTCTGAATTTTATTTTTTTTATTATTTATTACCTAAGAATGTATGGAATTGTCAATTTTGGCATTGAAATGAAGATGTTGAGTTCATAATTAAATTAATTAATGATAATTTAAAGCGCTTTTTTTTAATAAAAAATCAATAAAATAAATTTTTTGAAAGGTAAAATAAGTACTTAATTTATAATATAAACTATTCTATAAAGTATTTTTTAGTTTTAGAAAGAACTATCTTTTGACTGGATATAAAAATATTGGCTGATGTTAAGTAACTGCACAAGTAAAATTTCACTGAATCTTACTTATTTTTAAGCTCTTCGATTTCCATATAAAAATGCCATATAATAATTTATCTTGTTTTTGTGAGAATTGACAATATTTTTATGTACCTAAGTCACTCAATAAAACACAAAACTGTTGCATAAAATAACAAAAAAATCAATTTTAGCTAACATACATATGTAACATACTAATGGCACTTTATAGATCCTTTTTAACCGGAAATCGTAAAACCAAAGCTCAAACGGTATCACTTTAGGTGTAAATTTTATTATAGCGTCAAATTGGCTTTCAATTTACAGCTTCGTGGAAATTGCCTTAAAAATTATGCTGGGTGCGTTGGTTATCGAAAAATACTGATAAATTTTATTGGCAAAAAAATAAAAAAAAAATTATTTTTTATAAAAGGCTGAACATGTTTTAAAACAGTATTTATATCAAAGTAAACTGATGCTTGTAGATATGTGCGAATGAACTCCATACAGAACAGTTTTTCTAACTACCATATATAAATTTTAATCATAAATATAAATGGCATAGTTTTATTTTACTTATTTCTACAATCTTTTGAAGTCTGTGAAATAAATCAAACATTTAATAGTATTTCAACAATTTTTCAGTATTTTTCTTTCATCAAACACAAACTCATAGTAAGTCTCTTTGGTACTAGCATGACAATGCATGCAGCATAACTACCTACATAGCAATCATTTATTTAATGTCACTGGATGATTTCTCTGTGGTAACCATTGTTCTCAGATAAATTCTATTCTGTGCGGTACTGAGGTTTGCATTATTTCTCTTAATGGCTGACAGCATACGCAGTAATCTATTTCGAGATACTTCATTATAATGTGACATTTATTTTTAATACTTGTTTACACACCAATCTATTGAATGGAGTTCCTTGCATAGCATTTTAAAATGTTAAAATGTAGTTATGGATTCCTTTGAACTCTCCTGATATTAAATGTTAAATAAGTTATGTATATATATGTATAGTATGTCACATGAAAAAAAAAATAATTTATTTGCATTGCAATCCTGCAGTGGGAATAATTTATTCATTTACATACAATTTTTGCGGATGCAGTATTTCACTCAGATTTTATGTAAATCTTTCTTTTTTTTAATTTATTCAATTTATACCATAACTTTACACTTGTGAGTTCAATTGGGTTCTCAAGATAGAGAAACTGCGTCATTCAATTCAAACAAATGACAATATTTGCAATTCTAGGTATAAATTTTTACATAATATTTATCTACAACGTCAGGCTTGTAGTGTACAGGGCATCTCGGCACTGATGTACACGTAGGAGGGTATTATATGGAACATAGGGATTAAAGGCTAGGAAAGATAGGCTCTATACTTTCTTTCATTTAAGAAATCGGACTAGGAAAAACACTCCAATCTGACTGACTAAGGGGAACAATAGAGCGTAGTGTACTACCATTTTCCTTAATAATAATAAGAAGAAGTAATGACGTATTATTGAGATACTAAAGACAATGATATTATAAGACAGGCCTAGTGCAATAAAACAAGGCGTATTGTGGTTTTAGAATTAAATTTAATAAATCCACGATATCATTTATTGTTGAATTTAAAGACAAATCTATAAACCAGGTTTTTCACAGTAAAATTTTTGTTAATAATATTTGCATTGAAATAGTTTAGTAATACGTTCAGATACTTCCGGTTGTCATTACCTATTATGTTAAAATTGTTGTCTTTCAGTTTTAATAGAATCAGAATATGTTTTGCCTTCGATTTAGTTCTAAATTTTATTCCCCAAAGTACTCAGTTAGTTCACCATCTATAAGTTCTTGTAATGTTTAAGATATTATATTTTAGGTCACGGTACAGAATACATGTATTGGCCAGATTTTATTCATTTTATTCTATTTATATTAGTTTAACACACATATTCGAAAACAGCCTTATTCGAACACAAATTCACAGCTTCAAATAAAATTAGAAATTTTAAAATTAAATATTCTGCCAGTTTTTGTTGTTGTATATTTCGAAAAACAAAAAAAAAATTAAAAATATTTTTTGTAAATAAGAAAAACTCTTCTTGTTATATATTTTGCCAATTTAAATATTTTTATTGAAATAAAGTCATATGAAACTCATCTGTCAAAAAGCTTTAAAAAATTTGTACTGATATTTATGACGGTTAACTCTAAAATATATTTCAATAAATTTTTTTTGGCAATTCTTTCAAAATCCTTGGAGCAAAATACACTTCTGAAATTTATATGACATTGATATAAATTTAGAGCGACTAAATTGGTACAAATTTCATACCAATGTCGTTCAAATTTCGTTACATATTCGTATTTGTCGATATACGTTTGTAATGATATATGGCACTATAAAGCTTTATAATACTAGTAAAAATATAAGCACAACATAAATTTCGAAATAAAGTTGCTTATGTCACAATCCCAGCAATGAGCGATTCACGAATTAAGTACTTCCCGATTCCCAAATACAACGCCACAAAAACGCCAACAGAAATGATAAAATTTGTGAAATTTTCATATGAATTTCGTTATATGCTCAAAGCATTTATGTGTTGCACTCTTTTTTTTGCTTCTGTAAACAATTTTTTTAAGTGCATAAATAAAACACTTTTTTAATACAATTTTATGTATTTTTTAATTAAATACTAATTTTAGAAATAATTGAAGTATGAAATTCATTTTTGTTTATTTGTTATATGATTTGTGAAATTATTTATGTCTCATTGAGACTAACAATTTATGAAAATAATTCCAGAAAAAGTATGAGCAACACAAAATGCTTGAATATGTCTTTTTAAATCTTCTCAAATCTTGTCATCTTATGCAAAATTATTATATCAAAGTTGTCACTCATACGAGTTGTGATTTTCCACTTCTTAATGTGAACATAACAGTGACAAACATTCGCATATGTAAACATAATTGTTTTTCTTTAATTATGACAAAGCATTTGGCAAGGATATGTGTGCTTACCCCAATTTCAACGTAAAATGTATAGATGGGATAGGGTAATGCAATTACCATACCCGTTAGCCAAGTCGCGCAGCAACAAACAAATGCTGGTAGGCGTCCCTTCAGCGGATCCCCCAACCAACGCATGCGGTCCCAGGCAATGAGTATATGCGATATTATAGCGACATGCAATGGTATATCCTGGAAAGAAAAATAAAGGAGCATAAATTGATATGTTCATGTGTAATCTCTATGAAATTTACAATTTCAAAGTTGAAAGTTAAAGCAATAAAGCAATATGACGAAGATGAAGATGCTTTGTGATATGCAAAATATAATAAATGAAAAATGAGAAACGGTAAATGAATTGTGCAAAAAAGTAAATGGGCATAAAATATATGCTCACAAGGAAAACTTTTACCCAAATTTACATACATCATAAGCGCAACTCGTAGGCGGCTTTCATTCAACTTAAAAGCAAATATTGAATATGGATTTTAAATTCAATTGGCTTGCTTTGTTATCTCTTGGCATATGAAAGATTTAGCATAAAACTTCTGCCGTTACTTTTAACCCGTTTGTAACATATGTGTACCAAAAGACAAATATTAAAATCAACCTACGCAGGTAGAGAAAAGTAACATATAAGTAGCTTTTTTAGCGATTGTTTGTTTTAGTTAATGCTAGAACAAACAATCGTAATAATGTAATAATGTAACCATATTACAACAACAGAAGCAATTATTATCATAGATTAAGAATATGCTTATTATATAGAAATATCTAAAAATACAGCAGAGCAACATTCAGTATACAAGTAACAGTCAATTCATTCTTTAATGGCGATATTCACAGAAAGAAATTTGTGAGAGCTTAAATCTATAAAAGAATCTCACGTTACAGATATTCACAATCTTATATTCACACTGTAAAGTTGCAATAAAAATTTGTATCACAATAAAAATGAATTTCTCAAATTTTTAGTATGAAATATATATTTGCATTCAAATATTGGAAACTTGCCAAGTACTTGCCGTTGTAAACGTTAAGATAGGAAAATTATTCAATAAATACTTGGTGACTTAATTGAACAGTAACTGTTCATAAAGCTTTCTTTTGTATTCTAAACTTATTTCACTTTATTTATTTATTTAAATCTGGCAAAAAAAATAGATTCTAAAAGAATTTAAATTTTTTGAATATATTAGAATGATCCTCTTTTTTGTATTTGTATTACACAATAAAAAAAGAATGCAGAAAAGAATTTAAATTATTCAAATATATTTAGAATAGTACCATTTACTGAGGCCATTAACTAAGGATTTAAGTCGATCAAGAAATAAGTTGAAAGCGGTACAAATTTAAAGCTATCTATACACAAAGTAGGTCTTTCTCAATTAGTCCACACTCTAAAATTTTTAGTGCCAACAATATGATCTATATCTTGAAGTTAAGTGAGTTATATCCAATGACTGCGAAAGTCGAAATGAAATGTAAAACATGGACGCCTTAAAACGTTTAGAGGTATAATTAAAAGAAGATATCTATTAAAAATTAATGAAGAAAAACTAGCAGGATCATTAGAATCTGACATCCAAAAGCAGTAAAATTGTGTTCCAGACGAGATGAAATTGAAAGAAAAGTAGAACATGGTTTTTGAATTTTGAACCAACTATATTAGTCCGAAAAATAAAAATTGTATGTTAAGTATGGCCAAATTAATCAAATCAATGCGAAAGTTAAATATAAATGCCAAGATAATGCTCTGTATTAGGTAAAATATGAAGGATGTCAACCACTATGAGGTGCTAAAATTTGAATATATAATTGTAGAAGGACTGCAGGCATAATAATTCATTCATTTGAATGAATTTTTGGGTGAAAATTGTGGAGATTATTCGACCAGAAAAGATTTCTTACTTGCAGCGACAACTTGTTTAAAACTATATCACTAGTAGTGGATAGAAATTTTACCTCTCCCGTTATATAGATCACGCCTTGCCTCATCGCACTGACACTTATTTCACACAATACATAGGTAGTATGCTTTCAGAAATTCGATTCAATTCATCAATCCAAGTTGTTAAAAATTAGCACGATTTATTCTTAACCTTAACCTTAAGATTATCAGTTTTTTGGAATGAAATTCATTGGTTAGCAGAAAGATAGGAAATTATCATACCTTCTGATTGACAATACTTTCAATGGTTTGTTCTTTGAACACTCTTTCAGAAGAAATTGACTTTCAAGTAAAAACTTTTTACTAAAAAGGAAATGTTTTAAAGTTAACAAGTAAATATAAATTAATCAATTGATTAACAAATATCGCTGAGAATTCCTAATTTTAGAAAGCATTCTTGCTTGGTGCTGGTTTTGAATATTACCGAGATGGAATTTAAAGATGAATAGCTATAATAAATTGGATTTCATTGGTCTATAAATCAATAAAAGTTGGTATTTTGTTTCAATGAATCAAGTTTGCAGAAGTTATAATGTTTCTGACAGTTGTTAAGTAGGAATAGGTTAGGAAGTAGGACTGATTAGCTGAGGTAAAGTTAAAAATATAGCGTGATGTTATTTTTTCGGAATTTATTTTCAGAATATAATAGTCATTTTTAAGATTTATTTTTTCAATTTTACAAATATAATAGTGCATATTGATGAAGCATACCTAGATAATAAGACTATTGAAAAATAAGTGAACTACAAGAAAAAAGAAGCAAAGTCACCTAAAAATTATACGAAATTGATTTTGGCAAGTACAAACAGTCTTCGTCTTCCTTTTCACTTAATAAAAAAATGTTGGCAAATTTTGGTATAAAAGAGATTGAAAAATCTTTTAATGCGTGCCAATATATTGGTTAGACAACCTTTAGTTTAAATTTGGACTTGTCTTTTGAAGTTTTGGGATTTCAGTCTGCGTGATAAATTAAAGATGTAAGTGATTTGTTTGCTTACTAACAGATAGTCGGACAGATAAATAGGCAGCGATACAAGCATCTAAAAATCCATTAGTTTTATTGTGTGAATGGAACAGAATGAAATTTTTTCACATTACAGAAATAGAAGTACAATATAAAAATCAAATATAATAATAATCTATTAATAAATTAACACAACTATTTTAATTATTGACTCAGAATAACCTATCTAATAAAATACGAGTATATACAGTAAAGCAAATGCATTACTTCAAAAGCAACAGCTTTTATGATATATAGGACCGGAATTACACTTCTCTATTCTTATTATTCAATATATTGAAAATAGAATTCTAAATGAAAATTTAAAATCATTGTAAAAATAATAAGCTATTCGAAGAAGAATTTGTAAATAATAAAATATATTAAATTCTAATAAAGTCACGTATTTGCCTCAAGTTGTTGCTGCTGCTTAACTTAAATATTTTTCCCGAGCTGCATTTTAAGTGCCTCGATATTCCGTGTTTATCCTTGTCATAAACAAGAATTTTCTGCAACAGTGGTGTACATTTTTTTTACTTTCTCATTTAATTTTATATAAAACTTTATGGGTTACAAGCTGCAGTTCTAAAAATAAAAGGAAATCTAAATTCAGAGAAAATTTCCGCAAAGTATACACCACAGAACAATGATAATTGCAGGACATTAAAAGGCAAATGGCATGAAGTAAAATAACTAGTAAAATTATTTTGTTTAGATTTTACACTGAAAACGCTACTGTCTGCATTAAGTTTAAATCTATCTCCATCTTTAGAAAGGTGTATATACATAGATGTGTATATAACTGCCACGCCAGCCAAACATTAAGGTTCACAACAGAGTCGTTTTAGCGTTCACTTGAGCAGCTAGCAAAGCAATGCCAAACCCACAGATACTCAACGGGCTTTAGTGTAGAGAGTTTAATGTACACTGTAAAGAAAAACCGCATTGATGCATATACACAATTATAGATAATTGCAAATTCATGACAACACTTGGCGATTAAGTTGTGCTTAGTAAACTACGGCAGCCTGTTGGCATATGGCTGAAGTATACTGTGAGCTTCGGAAAACAAGACTACAAGGATAATAGGAAGAATTTGAAATAATGTTCAATTTTTGCTTATCTCTGTTTGCGGTGCTCGAAGTGAACTGAACTGCCATTGCGATGATTGACATGGAAATTACTAAATTAAATTAATTTGCCATTCGTGTAAATAATGAGCATCACGTGCAATGAATTGTGGCAATTATTTAAAAAGGATATTAAATAAATAACATAAATGTAATATACAAACACTTTAAAAGCGGTAAAACTAAAAATATATACTCGTGTCATAAAACAATAACAACTCATTAGGTTTTATAGCACAAACAAATTTATTTTCAATAATCTCAATTATTTTATTGTATCTATCTATTCTGAGAATTTATGTCATTTTGTGTGTCCTTTCACATCAATGCCATAATTTAATTTTGAACAAAATTTTATTAGTTTATTCACTGCAATATTTATACATAGAATTGTGTACATATTTTGGGCATCCCATTTATTTTGCCTATAAAATGTAAAAACAAATCACTGCGACAACCTAATAAATTTCTTTGGGTTTGTTATTGTGCTCCCAATTTGGACGGATCCAAATTTTACCTTTCATCATACTGTCATACAATTTTCATAAACATACGTACATGTGCAGATTCAGTAGACAAACAGCATAGAATCTGTTGTCAATGTGTTGGAATATTGAGTGTTCTTGGAATGGCATTACCATAAACAATTATGAAAGTAGTCCATCCTTCTGTCTTTATATGACCTCTTAACATCCATTCGTGTGCGCATTACAACTTCAAATACTGAGCTGGGTAAATTCAGATTTTAACAGTTATTTTGGCAGTAACATCTTTAGTTACATTGAAGTATTCCCAAGGTGAACTATTTTATGGCAAATTTCAAAAGAATACATTGACTAGATAAATATAAATGGAATGGAGATGTTGGTATACTTAAAAACACGTTCACCTTAACCCTTAAAAAAGGCATAAAATTAAGGTATGAAGTTGAAAAGCTTTTTAAGGATAATATCAAGTTAATTTGCAAGTATTTCATGATATTTACCAGAAAAATGTAGAATTGTAATTACATTTTTAAGCACAGTTGTTATTAGAATGTACTTATTTATATTCATTTATATTCATACTCTTTAGAATATTTAATAAAAGTTTATTACGAAAGTTAAATTCGATCAGATTGCAGCATAAATGTGGACTGCAGATTAAAATAGCTTCTTTCATTTAGAAACCAGGCTCATAATCATTTAAAATCATGAATTCATAAATAAAGGATGCAGGACCTAGCAATCCAGTTTCTCAATCTTAGTTAACTTTAAAATTAATTTTAATGTTAACTCACAAATAAATAAATAAATTTATAAATAAACTTATATTTAAATTAAATAAATTTTAATAATTATTTTAACACACATTGATAATTACAGGTTCCATTTTATATACTCAAATATTTGAAAGCACTCAATAAATTTATGAAGTAAAGATGAACTTTAAAATTAATTTAATAATAAAAACTTTTTTTGTTACAATTCATTACTGTTTAAACTTTTCTATTCGGAATTTCATTTAATACAATTATTTATATATTAAAATGTTAAGAAATGAATAACTTTAAATAAACATTTCTCTCTAAAATGTCATTTAACTTGTGTTACATTATTATTAGCCTTTACATATACATTAGTATGTCAGCAGCATTTATTACTTTTTATTTGTTCGTCAATGAAATATCTGCAAAATTATACCACAGTTGGTTATCATTTATTTTCTTATGTTTGACTTTCAAGAATTATTTCAGAACTTGATTGAATTACTTGAGTGACTTTAATGTCCTTCAATCTATTTTCTTTATCTTTGAATGCACATGTCCGGTAGAGTTATTGGCTTGCAACTTGCAACTTGCAAAAGACAGAAGCTCATATGTCTGTGCAAATAAATAATTTCAACTTGCAGAAATTCCATTACAATTTGCAACAAATTTCTGAAAATATTTATTGTTTCAAAATACTGACAACAGCTGCAGGAGAAAATTGTATGAGATACTTATATTTCTTAATATTTCTTATAACAAGAAATAAAGCAAAAATTCAATGCTTTGATTGAAATACATTTGTGTGCATATTAAATATTTTTAATGAAATGAATAAGAGTATTGCCTTAAGTGTATGTCAATTTAATTGAAAATGAAAATAACTTTGTAAAATTTGTTTATATTAAATGCAATTAAAATGCACTTTAAATAAATAGTTTTACTAAAATTGATTGACTTTATTTATGTATTAAATTTTAATAAAATATCAACTTACTTGCAACATTGGCAGAAAGAAACACAAAAATTGTCCAAAAATCCAATTCTGGATTAACAATACCATCAGCGTTATCGGTAGTACAATAGCACATTGCACAAAATGACACAGCGCCAGATTTATTATGAACGCGTGCGTCACATCCTTAAACAGGCGATGATATAGAACATATGCAATGATGGCACCATTCATGATAATGCCCAACATAGCCAAAATTGCATATTGTATAATAAAAATCCAATATACTGATTTGATGCTTGCTTTTAGTATAGGACCATTGAACCGATCCATGGCGTCTGTATCATTAATGTGACCAGCAAGAAAATGTGCAATAATTATAAAATATTTATCTGGCACATCCCTCCACTTTGCTTCTAAATCTGCGTAATTCATTTTCTGATTACTTGTACTGGCTGCCACGTGAAGATCAAGGGTCTCATTTTCATCATCGACGACATGCTGTGCAGGCGACATGTTGATTATTTGCGGTTTATTCCTTTAAATGATTTTCTTTTGTGGTTGAAATGTATCTGCAGTTTTATTTTTTATTTTCTCTACTGCAAGTAAAAAATGAAATAAATTTTATTTAAGAAAAGTTACTTTAAAGACTAATGATTACTTTTAGTTCTTAATCAATGCAATAAATTTTTAAAGCCAAACAAATTTTTCAAAATTTAGGTATCAAATTAAAGCAAATAGAAGTGTAAATCTAGTCGACATGGAAGCAATCATAACATTATATATATACTACCAATATTATTGATGAATTTTTATGTATTCATTAAAAATATTAATTTAAAAATTAATTGTATTGTATATATATATTTAGTATATAAAATGATATTATATATACCACTACATTAAATATATTAATATTAATATTAAAATAATATATCTGATTTCAACAAAATCAGAAATCAGTTTTATTTTTATATAAAACGTTCATGTTAATAAAATATATAAAAGGAAAAGCTTATTTTGACTATATCAATGCTTAAATATAAAAAGCATTATAAAGAATAATAATTATCTTTATAAATATATTATATGCAAGTTACGAGATTGTTTTAAATAATATTATTCATATTGATATTTGATCAGCTTAAGATCGGCAGAAGTATCTATTTGTAGTTTCATACAGTAAGTATTTTTAGACAGCGAAAAATTACTGACATCTAAGCAAAAAATCAAACAGATATTGAGATGGAATATATTGATTTAGTTTTTTTGTTACTTATATTAAATAGTCCTCGACGCATACTTTTTTGCGTTATGAATATTTTTAAAAATTTTTTTAATGTTTTTCCACCTAACAAAATAAAAAATATATAATTTATTTAATACAAGGATTTTTGACCTATTAATTAATTATCAACTTTGGAGACTGCTTTATATGTAGATGAAAGCCCTTTTATCTTTTAGTTTCATTAGCTACATTAGAATTAGAAACACATCTCTTTGTTCTTCCTTGATTGCTTATCCGCATTAGATTCATTAAACAACAAATAATTTTTGAATATAATGTAAAACATATATTCAACAATAAATATAATAATATACTACCTGTTAATACAGTATTAGTATTTATTCTGTATGGAGTCATCAATGTGTAGAAGATTCGGTATAAAGCACTCTTAATATCATATTAATTTAAATGAAAGATATATTATTTACAAACTTATCTTTCTCTTTAGTGTCTCTCTCTTGATCTTATGGTTTATATTAGTTTTATGGTAGTTCATAAGTCGGTTTGCTAATGTACGTCTTAAGCCATCAAAATTTTTTTAGCCGCACAAAACAAAAAGTTGTCTTTACAACCGTCTAGAATAAGTTGCAATACATCGTATTTCAAATTGCGTACGATATGTACTCGTTAAGTACCTCTAAGTACTTCTACATTGATTACGCTACCAGTCCAAGTTATTTTTAGCAATTAAAGATATTTAAGGCATCACAGGCTTTAAATTATTCCTAACTGAAATTTTCAAAATTTCTACTCCATAGAGTAAAATGAGCTATACGTAACAGATTATATATTGCAATCTTAGCTTCAGATTGAAGTATTGGTTAGTTATTATTCTTGGACATCACAGAGAGGCAGGATCGTTATTCTACATTTTACAACAAAAGCATGAATAAGTAATTACAATACATCATAAAGACGATACTAACATAGAAAATAGTATAAGATAGATAAAAGATTTTTTTGCTAAAATATTACTAACACAAAAATTAAAAATATAAGATAAAAAATGGAAAAAAAAATTTAATTTTAATAATTCCTTAAATAGTCAATAAAACTACTAAAAGTATTAAACTTTCTGCTAGCAAAACAATTCTCAATAATAATTTTGTTTTAATATATTGACACCTCTTTTAATTTAATTTAATAAATATTTGAATTTAATGAATTTAATTTATTTTCGATTAATTTTTTTTAGTGATGATTAAAATTGCAAATACAGTTTTAACATATTTATGTAATATAAATATAATTACATATTTATACAATTGAATTATTGTACATTCCATTTTAATCTAAAAGCATATCAATTTTATAGTCATTCCAATGAATTTCAGTTTAAAACGAATAAATTTAGCTTTATACGTAACTAATTTAAACGTTACTCATACGCTATGAGGTACAAACGCTTTGATATGTGTATCTTCCGAATTTCGAAGAATTTTGACTAACAAAATTTAATACATTTGTGGTAAAATAGCATGTTTAAGTATAATTTTAACAATATAATTTTACCAGAAATTTTCCAGTAATTTTAAAAATAATCAATTTTAAAGTAAGATTAAAATTCTCAAAGCAGTTAAGCTTTATATGCCAAATATATGCAACTTTTTTTTAAAATGTTTTACACGTTTTTCAAAAAAATGAAAAAGGGAATTACATTTTACCCCAAAATAGGAAAAGCTGAGGTAGAAATTTAACATAAATTGGCTTTAAGCGCTTGAATCACTCGTAAAGAAATGCAAATACGTGCCAAATATCTCAGTTTTCGGAACACGTGTGCTTCTAGTATTCATTCAAAGTTCTGGCATACAAAATTCGTTGCCCTTCCACCGTTTTAAATAGCTTAGAGCCACATTTTGACCAATGTAGTTCGTACACCTTCACCAACACTAAACGAATGAAATTAAACTTGAAAAAAAGAGGAAGGAAAAAATTCTCATGACTCGTGCACAACAATTGCTTTGATTTTTGTATTTTGTGGCATTTTACTTTAAGCAGTCACTTCCTTTCAATTTGCTACGTTCCTACACTCGTGCCATTCTATTACATATATATGCAATATAAAAAATATCTGCGGGAGTGTGTATGGCAGTGCTGTTATGTAGGCTGCATGTTGCAGTTTTGGCATGTAACATGTGCAATATTTGCTGCAAACAGGCAAGTTTAACGACCTTTCATAGGCTGTCATGTAACTTTAAATTGCTTAGAAAAAATTGTTGCTATTGCTTGTTTGTTACTTTGTTTTGCAGATAACATTCCTGTTTTTATTCTTATTATTTTTCTTTTTTTTTTTTGATATTTTTAACAAACTAACGAGTTTGTTGCATTTTACAGTTTAACTCCCGTTGAAAATGTTTTTTTCTCTTTTCATTCTTGATGAGGTATATATTTTTTATATATTTTCAGCCAACTACTAACTACCTACCACACCCTGGTAAATGTTGTTTACGATCTGCTATGTGTGCTCGAACAGTATATCTAGTTACGAAAAGGAAAATATAAAATGCAAGAGAGAAGCTTATATATTATGCCTTTTATAATGCATTTCCTGAGCATATGTGAGTTTATTATGCTGGAAATGATTTATCTATTCTTGGAAAGCTTATCTCCGTTCCTACCATTTCATAGCATTCGCACATGAAATCTTCGATATTTTCAGTTGCAGTTGCATTCTCCTTTAGAAGCATTGAACTAACAGTAAAACTATTCAATATGCTGAAATCGTATTAAATTTTCTTTTTGCTTCCTTTGTTGTTTTCTGTTTGTCATAAAAAATTTATTTTTTTGCAGTTCTGATTCAGGAATCTATCTACGCCATCTTTCCGTTCAGTCAATTAAATCGGAATTTGATGATGTGAAAATATCATTAGAGTTTATTTTAAATACCTAAACACAATGCAAGTCATACACTGTAAAATCGGTTGTAAAACGAAGATTACGAACTAAAATGCAATTCATTTTTTATAAAATATTGAACAGGATACATTAACTGAATGAGTTTTTGTGAAATCATTGTATGAAATAAATGTGTTTGTATCAATGTTATCAATGAAGAAATGTCTTTTGTTGCATAAATGATATTAATTTCAAAAAATTACTTTTATTTCACATTGATTTATTAACAATTGTAAAATGTTATTACATTATTACATGTAATGCAATGATAAGGATAAATTACTAATATTAATTTTTAATAATATATATTTATTTATGTTAACTTCAAACTATTAGTCATAATTCAAAACAGTATTCTTTGGGTCAAACCACAAAATAAGAACATTAAAATTACATATGCATGAGATCAGGTTATAGCCATGAGATCAAACTCAGAGGTAGTCACAGTTAAAATTTAAAATTAAAATTATTTCTAAATTTCCATAAAATGTTGGATACTTCACATATATAAAAATATTACTCTATTTTTAGATACTTCTCAGATTTAATTCCTAGTAATCTGTCTGTTTTCATCTCCTTGACGATAGTCCTGCGTCATATTAACAAATAAATTGCACAAATACAGAAACAATTCAACCCACTACGATACTCTTCACATATAGTTTAAATATTTCTTAAGTTGTCATGTAAGTGATATGGTTTTAACCATAAGGATGTGAGTAAAAAGTTTTGTGATAGTTTGTGCTAGAAGATTTATAACACACATTTTTAAACCTGCATCCACAAGTAACTACATTAGTTAGAACCACTTGTTTGAAATTTTAAGGATGAGAAATGACATGAAGAAATAAGAAATCTATCATTAATGCATTCATTGATGTTCGTGTTTTTTCTCTAATTGATACTTACGATGGATTATTTTTATTATTTTAATTTTTTATTTTTAATTTTTTTTTCAAACACTCTTTAAAAAATAATGCTTAAGGTAAAATTATAAAAAATGCAATTAAAAATGCTTTGTAAATACAAAAGAGCAAGCAAACTTTATTCTCGAAAAAATTTAAAAACTTTATAATTTCCACTTAAGTTTATATTACTTTTTTACCATTTTTTAATAATAATTAATTTTCAACCTTCAAGTTGAAGAAATAACTTTATTTATAAATATACCATAAATATAACTCCAGAAAAATTATTTTTCCACAGATGTGATTAATGTCTACAAACTTTTTTAATAATGTTGCCAATTGATGTTGAGAAAAATGTTGAAAAAGTATTCAGTCAACAATTGTCTTGCATTTATGTTCTATATAGATGAAAGATATCAGTGACAAATGATATATGTTAGATAAACAAA